CTTACAGAACCATTCATAGTCTCTTTCTATTTGGCTCGCTCGCTCATTTATTCATTGTATCAGTCGGCATTTACTGTTACCTACTGTGTGCTTGGCTTTGCACTAATATTGGACCTATAGACAGCAGACCACTGTTCTTTAAAGTGTGGTCCTACAGACCAGCCTCGTTAGAATCCCGTGGGTGCTTGTTAAAAATACAGACCCCCTGCACCTCAGCCACTGAAGGCATTGCTGGGACTGTGCATTTTAAACAGGCTTCCTGGGCTCATTAAACAAGTCCATTGCTAGAGCCTGGCATCTTTCATAGCCCTTGGCATTGGTGTGCGTGAGGTCCCTGGACTGTGGCTGCCCTCAGAGAGTGTTGGGTGGCCCGAGAACCTGGTCCCAGCCCTCCCGCTTCCTTCGTTCCCCTTGCCCTGAAGACCCTGCTGGGCCCTGTGAGGGAGAGGGAGTGGGGAGCGGCCTGCCCTCTCCGCCCACCACAGCCGTGGCACCAGGGGTGCAGTCTTGGGCAGATTGCGAACCCCAACGGCAGAGACCCTGTCTCAGCCTGCACTGCTCCGTCCTCACTGGGCAAAGATCTGATAGTACCAATTAACATCAACAAGGCTCCCTCGCCGCCTGGGCCTGTCCTGAGGCTTTGCTAATTAATACCTCTATGGTCCTTTGGGTCCCTGGAATGAGAGGTTTGGGGAGTCCTGAGGAAACTGAATGGTTTCAGGATCTTTCTTCCCAAGCAAGCATAAGGAGACTGGGACTGGCTTTGGCGGCAGCAGTATGAGAAATGGGATCTAGAACAGTAAGAGCTAACATGTTTTGAGCACTCTACATGCAGGCACTGGCCCAGATGCTTTAAATATGGCACCCCACTTAATACCCACTTGCACTCCGGGAGATAGGAACTATGACTTACCCACTTTACAGAGGGGCACAGCGAGATACGGTGTTCTGTCCAAGGTCACACAGCTAGTGTGGCCGACTAGGGCTAAACCCCAGGCAGTCTGACTCCCAAGTCTGACCTCCTGCTTCTGCTCTCCAGGGCCTTCTGCACTCACCCCTCCCCTCCCCCTGGCTCCCCGCCCTAGTCACGGCCTCTCGCCCAGGGCCAGGTGTTCACTCTCTGTTGGGTCCCACAAAGGGGCTGGCAGAGGGAGATGTGCATACTGCTGCAGCCCTTGGATCCCTCTCTCAGCTGTGACTTTGGACCTGATTGTGGACTTCCTGTTCCTGCAAAGGGCGATGCCACAGGGTGGTGGCATAGGGGAGGGACTGGCCCTTCCCCTCCCCAGGGTCAAGAGCCTATGGGAGAATCAACACCCTGTGCCCTCCGGGACAGCACTGGCCTCCCTACTGGAGAGGTGACTCCCACCTGCCAGGAGAGCATGGGGGTGGATTAAGCTGGCACCAGACACACGCCACTCGGGCAAGGGCTTGCCTCCTGGCCAGAGCCGGGCATTCACCTCCGCAGTCGGGCTGGTGGCAGAGGTTCAGGGCTGGGGGAAAAGTCCACAGAGCCCGGAGGTCTCAGCTGCACAGTAAGAGGTACCTGGTAAGGGCCATACAAGCCGTAGGAGTTTTCTGTAGGTTCCTGAGCCACTGGCAACATTGCCCCATATTTATTAATTAGGGACAATGGAGGCCAATTTGGGGTGACACTTGTAGAACCCAATCAGAGGCACTGAAAGCCAGAAATAATTCCCGGGCATCCAGGGCATCCCTGCTAGGAGTTCTGCTTTCCCAGTTCCCCTCCTCCTGCCCCTCCTCCCTCAGGCCTGCCTCCAGCACCCTTCTCTTCTCCTCCCCCCCCCCAGGTCCCCCCTCCACATCTGGATTCAACTAGCGAACAACAGGCTTTCTGTGAAGGCCTCCACCTTCTTCTGCCCTCTGGTTCTCCAGTTCAGAACTTTGGTTCTCACGGGGGTGGATGTGGGGAGAAGGGGTCTGGAGAGCCGAGAGATCTCTTTTCCCAAACCTCCAGAGTTGGGGTAAAACCTGCACCAGGCCCCTATCCCTCCCTGTGGTCCGGATTCTGACCATTCCCTGGGGCCCTGGGTTCACCAAGGAGCCCGGAGCCCTAGTTCAGAGCTGGGGCTGGCAGGCTGCAGACATGACGAGGAGACATCAGTCCCCCCACCCCCAGCCTCCACCCCAATCCCAGGCCTGGGAGCAAAGCCACCCCTCCCTGCCAGAGAAGTCCTGCTGGGCTCCTGGAGGCCAGGCGGGAAATTGGAATGTGGCAGTCACAGTTGAAGGCAGCTGTAACTGTCATTAAAGGGACATCAACCCCACCGCAGGAGGATGCTGTAAATCCAGGGAAAGGGGGCATTCATCCAGGGAGAACCACAGAAGCAAAGAAAAAAACCTCATAAATAAGAGGAGACGTGGTGTCTGGAACTAATGGCGGGGCCCTGCCCGGGGCCTCGGAACCAGGGGTGGGGAGGCACTCCAGGCTCAGGGAGTGGGGTGGAGGTACTGGGCAGGCTGGGGTCTAGCCAAGTGTAAGGGCACAGCCAAAGCCCTCCCTCTGGTTGATTCTACTCTGCTCTTGTTGCACATTCTCGGGCCAGGCCTGGCGCTGGGAGCAGAGCTGGCTTATGTCCCGGCGGGGGGGGGGGGAAGGGGGGGCACTGGGGACAGATCACCATTCATGGGCTTTCTCAAGGGTAAGAAGAGCAGGTGGCATTGGCCATTAGAATTATTTCATGGGAGAAGTAAGCTGTGGGTCAAACTCTGGGCTTACGGCTGGCCACCGGGCTGCAAATCCTGACCCGGCTACTTGCCGTAGATCTTGGGAGGGCGAGGGCACCTTTGGAAGCGTATTCCTTTCATCAGGACAATGGGAATGGTCACCCTGCCACACAGGTTCAGTGTAGGTCAGCAAGTGGCGGTGTGTGGCAGTCTGAAGGTGCTGTTTGTCGAATGACTAAATGGATTGACAAATCCCTGTAAGCCCAGAGGCTGGGATTTCTTTCAGATCCATTCCCTTCTGCCTGAGTCTAGTTCCGCCAGCAATTTGCTGAGACCCTTGGGCAAGGGACTAACTTTGGTTCTTTTTTTTTCCCCCCCCCAGGGCTTTGGGTTTTTCCCCTGGGATATGAAGCCATTGTAGGAGGTCGACTCTGGTGTGGATGGTATTGCATACAGTAGAATCATGACCCCTTTGCCTTGGGGTCTGTGGAACAGCCCAGGTCTTGAGATCCCTAGGAATAATGGGTTTCATTCCAGAACCTTCCTCTGGAATCCTTCTGGACTCCCTCCCCACCACCCACACCAGGACACTCTGAGGGGAGGCCACAACCACCTTTGCTCTGTAAGACTCCCTGACAGTGATGCTGGTGGCCTCTCATGCTCACCTGAGGTGGAATGAAGGAGAAAGAGTGGGCTGGGGGAATTCCTGCCTGCTCTTCTTTCATCGAAGTCAGAATGACCTGGAGGGCCCATTAAATTACAGGGGGGAGAGGGGGTGCCACCAGAGTTCTGTTTCAGCAGGTCTGAGGTGGGGCCCGAGAAGGGAAGTGCATTTCTAATCAGTTCTCAGGTGATGCTGACCCTGTGGCCAGACGGGTCTTGCCAGAATTCAGGCTCCCTTTCCTCCGTGACTACAGTTCAGGCAAATAGAAGGCTGAGGCCAACTCCAAGCTTCGAGTGCTCCCACTTCCAAGTCACCTGGGAGCCTCAGAGCCAGCATCCACAGGTGCACAAGGAGCTGGTTGGTCTGGGGCCTTAGTGGTACACCGTTTCTGAACCTCCCCCCCACCCCCGCCCAGCTCCCCGGCCACAGAGGGTGCTGGTGTTGCAAGTTCAGTTTCCTCGGAGGGCCTCCCTCCCTCCCACCAAAAAGCGTTAGTGTAAAAGGAGGTAAGGAGAGGAAGAAAGCAGGAATTAAATTGGGCGAAATGGTCTAGACCAGCAGTTCGGGACAATGAGTCGAAAGGAAAGGCAGGACAGCCAGGCTTCTGAAGTACCCAGAAATGACGCTGGGCTAGAGGAAGGAAGGATGATTCATGTCTTTGGAGGGCCAGACAGACACGGAGTGGGTACAGTCAGCCCTGCTGATTTAAAGGGTGATTCTGGGGCACATCTCACTCCCAGGGGTGAGGCTGATGGTGGAAGAATGTGGCCACTGAGACTTCCTGAGAGTCAGGAGCAGGGGTGGGGAGGGGAGTGGGCCAGGAGGGCCACTGGCTTCACCAGCAGGACACGGCTCACCAACACAAGGTGCTCATGGGAAGCACCCCAGTGCACCCCATCTGCTGTCTCCTTTCCGGGCACCTCCACTACCATTCTTCAACCTCTCGAGAAAGCCAGGCCTGAGACCGAAGCCCCCTCCAAGGACAGTGTCCAGGGGCTCAGGGCCTGCTGCCTGCACACCGAACCCACTTCCGGCGGCTTTGTCACTGGGCCTGGACCAGAGCATTCCAGGCCGTCTGGGGGGCACCACGGCTATGGTGGTCCATTTTCCTCACCTCACAAAATGACACACAGCCTGCCACAGGAAGGGATGAGCTTACGGAGGCACAAGAAAGAATAACTGGACTGAGGACTGCACTGGGCTCTATGCTCAGTGTGGAGTCTGCTTGAGATTGTCTCTCTCCCTCGGCCCTCCCTACCCTTTAAAAAAAGGGAGGGGTAAGGAGGGGGCTCTCTAAGTAAGAATTGGGCCCAAATAGGAATGACGGTCTCCTCATTCCCAGTCGGCCTCTCTGCTATAAGGGAATCCAGCTCCCTCTTGGAAACTGGCATTAGGCCTGGGGTAGGAGAAGAGAGGTGGGAGATTGTAGTAGTGGGAGCGGGGGCCCAGGGCCCAGAGCCCCCATCAGGCTGGAGGCTCTCATTGGGAAGCTCACAGCTCTGTGCCTGCAGAACCGCCTCAGCTGGAGGGAGGGAGGGGGCTGCACTGCCCAAGGTTCTGACCCCTTCTGAGGTGGGAGGTGGGACAGCCAATAATGGATAATAAATCTATGAAATAAACATTTTTGTTATTTTATTGTTGAGGAAAGGTTAAAGAAGTTGTCAAGACTGAATAGGACCTGGCAAAGCTGGGACTCTCATCCAGATCCACGGTGACTTGCAGGATGCTCTCTGCCCACTGGATGGAATGTGGAGGAGACCCTTGACCCTGACCTGTGGGGTCTATAGTGGAAAAGAGCTGACTGGCCAAAGACCGTGTTCAGGTAGGGATGCGAAACCCCCTGAGAGGGGCACTCATACCTCAGGTGCAGGTGCAGGTGGGGGGAGCAGAGAGGGAAGAAGAGCAACGGCCTGTGGCAGGCTCTGACGGTCAAGGCGGCTCTGGTGGGGGAAGAGCTCAGGCTGACCACGGGGTCTGGAACCGGAGCTGCCAACACCTCCAGCCCCGGCAAGCGGCAGCCACAGCCGCAAGTCCTGAATCTTCTCTTACCGGCCTGTGTGGTGGGGACTGCTGGCTCTCCATCTCCCCTGGGCATACAAAGAAGGCTCACCCATGCTCCAGCTGGTTGGCAAGACCCAGGCCCGACCCTGTCCCAGGGAAGGGAAAGGGACTCTGAGGCATCTCCGGCCCTGACTCAGCTGAGCACGCGTCCCCTTGCCTGGACTCTGGGGCCTGATCCAGTTGTAGTCAGGGAGGCAAGGGGGAGTTCAAAGTCAGTTTGCTGCCGAAGCAAAAACCCCGTCTTACAGATTTTCCCTTATCAGGCCCCAACGCCCGGAACATTCTGGAGATGACAATGGAAAGCGGACCCTTCCTGAGCTTTTGTCTCTTGAGGCCCGGATCCAGTTCCAGAGGGACGCCTAAGGCTAGAGCTGTCCCCCTGAGGGGTGATGGCCCTGGAATGGCTCGTGGGGAAGAGTAGCAGACAGTGCCCTGGTTCTGGTGGGTTTTCTTAGCACAAATTGGCATCCCCTGTCAAGCTTTGGCATCACTTTGCAAAGTGGCTCATTTGAGCCCTCCTTGTCCCCTGAAGATTCTGAATACATATTTACAGTTCATGTAAGTAGAAACAAAAACAACTCTTCTCTCTTCTCCTTTTAAACAGGTCCTTCCCCTGTGAGCATGAGCTATAGACAATGCAACCTTGCCCACGAAGGTTAAGAGGCAGGTGTCTGAAAGTAGCACCTGCTGAATACAGCCTCAGGAATCAGAAGTCTCTGTTCCTTGACACACTCAGCCAGAAATTCCCCTCACCTCAGTAACTGAGATTGAGTGCCTTGACATGAAATGGCAGCCCGGGTCAGGAGCTGGGGAGCGGGGTTTGCATGCAGGAGGCCTTTACCCAGAAAGGAACAGCGGTAGGCCCTCTTCCAGGGCTGGGCCCTGCTTTGCTCACCTGGTGGGGAATGTTCTTTCAGCCACAAAGGAGGTAACTCCATGACTGCTGTCTTTTTCTTTTCTTTTTTTTTTTTTTTTAAGTCTTTGTGAGAAAAATCCTGTGGTTCCATTTGTTTTCTCTGAGTGGTTTGTTAGTTGAGGTGTTTGCATGCTAAGCAACACACACTAATATTTTCCTCCTTAGCAAAACATTAATTATCGCACCCGGTAACCTTTCTCGCAGGCATTTTTCTTTTTACCACCCCCTAAGCTGTGGGGCACCGAGCAATTTCTGTATTTCCCATCATCTCTGCAAGCCGACTGCCGTGTCGAAGGAGAGAGCTGTCCCACCGGGTTGGGTGCAGGTCCTCCTCCGTGCCCCTCAGCGCCCAATGCGGGCCGCTCTCCCAGCAGTGCTCACCCTGGTGAGCACCAGCTGTTTACCTCTCTCGTTCCCCACGGGGCTGTGAACACGCTCTGGATTCCCAACCCCCAGAACTGCGCCGGGCACGTAGTAGCAGCTCTACAAAGGTTTGCTGCCGCAGCAGGTGTATGAATGACGCAGAAGGTGGTGCCGAAGAAAGGACGAAGGGCCGGGTCACACCTGAGCCTCCCCTGGGGGCACCCCCAGCCCCCATCTCTTACCCCTCTGTATAAGAGGCAGTTGTAGGCTCAGTTTGGGTCCTTTGCTCTTCCTAGCACTTGATGAGTCCAGGCTCTGTGCCCATCTGTAGCCATGCTCAGCAGCCAGCAGGTGGAGGGTTCATGGGCAGCCCAGATACCACCCTCCCTTCCCCATCCTCCTTTCGGCTGAGAGTTCAGACAGGGCGGAAGGGAGAATTCAGACCCTGGAGTCTGGGGATGCAGGGACCAGGGAGCAAGTGCAGAGCTTAGCGATCCTTAGCATCAGCTCCTTCTTTCCAAGTTTAAAGATTAGACACCTAAGGCCCAGCCAGCTGAGCTGAGATGTCTGGTTCAAGGCCACCTAGCTGGGGAGTGATGGAGCTGGCAATCGGGCCTCCTAATTAAGCCTCTTAATTAATCCTGAGTGTGGGGCCTTTCTAGTCCCTCCTGCTGCTACCTCCCTGCTGTGAGTGACCTCTTTCCCAGGTGAGCAGCACAAACTCCTATCTCCCACCTTATTTGATCCCCATGGCTTCTCTCTGAAGCAGGCAGACTGGTAATGGGTGTCTCTGTTTTACAGATGAGGGGACTGCGGTGCAGAGGGCGGGAGTGACCTCCCCGAGGAAGCTGAGCTGGCCGGTGGCCGAGGCGGGGCTGACATTTGGTTCTCAGAGTCCAGAGCGTGTGCCCCCACCCCCACTCTGTTTCTCTGATCCGTCCCTTCTGCTGCTCTACCCTTCCCTCCGGGAGCCCGGAGGCATCTGACTTAAGCTAGCTCCAAGGGACATGGGAGATGCTCTGCTCCAATAGGGTGCCCCTGGGAACACAGGGCTCTGCCCGCCCCCTCCCCCCCGCCCCCAGCCTCTCTAGGGTTTCTGGAGCTCCCTGCTCCGGGACTGGGAGTCTTCAGATGGCTCCAGCTGGGATGGCGGGTCTATCAGGGAGCTCAGGACACACCACACAGCGGGCTAACGTGCTCGATGCTGGGGAGTGCCCACCTGCCCCTCCAGGCCTTCTTGGGTGGTGTTTGCTGAGATAAAGCCTCCCTCCAAAGGGACAAAGTTTAAAAAGGGAAACCTCCCCCCAGCATCCGACCTCGGGAAAGCGGACAGGTAAGCTGGCTCACAAAAGACTTTTCCTTCACCTCCCACCTACCCTTGGGCCCTGAACTTGAGTGAGCTGTTCCCTAGCAGCAGTGAGCCCTGGCCACTGGCTTAGTCCACACTCAAAAGAGGGGCAGGGGTGCTCCCAGGACAGGGTGAGTGATTAAGACACTTCCCTTTTGGGCACGTTGCACCCACACTCCTCATGTGCTCTAGATAAAGGCACCCATGTGGCTCTCCATATAAATGTGTTTTCTCCAAGATAAGACTTTTGCCTCATAACTTGCCTCCATCTAAGATTGGTTCTTGTCAGCTGGTCTCAGGGTGAAGCTTAGGAGAGAAGATTATCGGAGTTAGTCTTGTTTATTGAGGATCTGTTTCTGCCTGGCCCACCCCTGTAATGTCAGCCATAATGCTATACGATAGGTTTGTATATAAACTAATGCGAAAGTTCATATATTTCTTGAATCCTGTTACTATATAGCTTACCTACCAATCAGCCACCTCTGAAACCCAGATGCCCCAAATCAAAGGAATTTTACACTTTCAGTAGCTGGCCCAGGGACCCGTTGGTCTGTTCACATCAGTGCCCTGCTCGCAAACCCCGTGGTTCCCCATTAGTCCTGTGCTCGGAGGCCCCCTTCCTCAGCCTGGCCCTCAAAGCTCGGCCCCACCCTCCTCCTGCCAGGCTGACCTCCATGTCCCCAGGCCTTGGCATACGAGACTCTCTCCCTCCCTTTCTACCTTCCTTCCTTCCACTATTTAAAGAGCCCCAGACCCTGTTCTAAGTGAGGTGGACTTGCTTTCCCTTAGCTCACGTAGCAGGGGTGGAGCCAGATACAAACAGATATTCAAATAAGCAAGGTAAATTCAGGTAAGTGAGTACGGTGAAAAGGGTGATGCGGGGTGGGAGTGAGGCCCAGTTCTTCACCCTAGCCCCAAGACGTGCAGAGGTGAGGGTGGCCCAGAAAGCCTGCCCACATCCACCTCCAGACTGTATCTGCCTTCTGGCCGGGCACTCAGTGGCTCTCAGACCGACGAGTCCTGTTGGGCAGCTGAGCTATGAGCTCCCTGAGGGTAGAGAAATCATCTCCCCCAGCTCTGTGCCTTTCACTTGCCCAGCGCATGCCAAGCGTGAAGGAACTGCTGGGAAAATGCACAAGGATCTCTCGGACCACAGAGCCTAGAGCACAGAGGGCCCAGCCCCCAGTCATTGGCTGAGAAGAGGGCCCCCTCTGTCCCCTGGGGAGGGAGGAAGGAGGAGCACATTTACATGGGAACTTTCATCCCCGGGGGTGGGGGATTTAAACCAATCCAAGTAATTTTCAGACAGGAACAAGTCAAATTCTTTTAAACTTTTTTGAATAGTTTGCTTTGACAAGGAGCCTAAGAAGAGTATCATGCCTATTCCTTGGCTTGGAAAGGTCTGGAACTATGCATGGGAGTGGGGGGAATTTTTCCTGGTATATGTACTTGGATGAAGAGTAGGGGCTGGGTGTGTGGGATCACTGTGTGCTGAGGGTGGGGGTGCACTTTGCCAGAGTATATTGTTGAGTCTGTGTGCGGTG